TTTGATGTTTGCTTTTCTGTTCCCACAGTTCAATCTTCACAGAATGCTATACCAGCACCACCAGCAAGCTTTAAATTGAGGGAGGATAATATGTCAGGAAGCTCAATTAAAGGTAGGATTTTCTACATAAAGCTTGCTTCATCGTATAATTGATACGAATATGAGCTGAAAAAGAAAAAAATGTGACCACACAACATTTTTTGCCACCCATTTTACTTTAATCAATCTAGCTAAAAGTGACACTTATGGTACGAGCATATGTGAGCTTGTGATAGCAAATTTTCAATGACGAGTGTTACCTCGATAAAAATTGCTTAAATCATTAAAGCTAATAATACCTTATACAAAAATTACTAGTGCCTCAAAAATGCTTGAAATTGAACTGAAAACTAAGATTGTAAATTTTTTTACTGTTTACTGTGGTTCACCAAGCTATTCGGTTTTTGCTTATACTTTGATATACAGGTCCAAGGTCATTTTTCTCGCTATCAACATTTCGGAGCAAAGGAAGTGACTCAAAACCTCGATAATCTTTCCCTAATTGTATCTTCACGGTACAAGTGATTGCATCTGCCTTTCCAAATGCAGCCGTATATTAGATTATTCTTTTTACAACCATTAATTAGATTATTGCCTGCACATTGTCATGGTACATGCTTCTTCATGGATTTTATGTGGCTTTTCGAGGGGGACATGTTTATTTCTTGTAGATTTGGAGTACTATTATGATGCTGTATATTGTAAAGACTTCATAGTTCCTATTGGTGGAACAGTGATGTGATTTTGGTAGCTAAGGCATTCTTTTCCCTGTGACTCGTGTTTGTGATGTGTTCGTACATGAAAAATAATAGCCATATTTGAATATTAGCTGCTTGTATAAATCGAAAACCGTTGATGTAAAGTTTCAACAACTGGCTGAGTATGGTTGTTGCTTGATTGCTGCCAAATATTTTTCCATAGGAAAAAAATGGTAAATAGTTCGTTTGGTCAGTAGTCTTATTCTTGAATTTCACACAATGAAGACGTTCTTTGTGTAGATAAATGGTTATCCGTGTCCAATCTTGACCATTTTATTATGCCTCCAAAATCGAGATCAATGGTTTGCTAGATCATCATGGT